GAAGGGAAGGGAAGGGAAGGGAAGGGAAGGGAAGGGAAGGGAAGGGAAGGGAAGGGAAGGGAAGGGAGCACTACAGAGCGCTGTTTCACCTTTCAAGTCTTGTGCTCCCAGGATCTACGTGCCATTTTTTGGATGTGGTTTGCCCCGAGGGCAATCTCAACAGCTGTGAAGTTTCAGCAGAAAAACAATGTAGTTTTCAATAAATTTCACAAAGCAAACGAAAGGATTGTGTAAGGAAAGGAAGTGTATCCTCAGATCACGAGGACAACACTTACTGTAAGCTCTGTGAATTCACCTGCTAAATACGGGACAAGATGGCAAACCTGAGCCCGGAGATTTTGTTTTGCTTTCTTGACGGCCTCCCGTGAGCAGTGCAGCTGAAAAGCCAGCGCAGGTTGGTTTGGTGCGTGTCTGGAGGAGCAATGAGGCAGTGCCCTTCGCTGCCTCTCGCCTGGCCGGGCTCTGCCAGGCGGGTTCAGGGAGCCCCAGGCAGGTGGCTCACGTCCCTGGCAGTAGGAAACAGTGCTGAGCGGGCCCGCGGGGACCTCACGCCTTTACAGGCTCCCTGCTTTGCCTGCGCTGTCCCAGTCAACGGGCTTGGGGCTTGGCGTCTCCTCCTCGCCCAAACGTCTGCCCAGAGGCTGGTTCCCTGCCCTCTTGCCCAGCTGCTCCCTGGCTGGTCTGCTTTCCCCCTCTCTGTTGCAGACACACAGCAAACACCTCCGGAGAGCTGCACTTGGTGGTTCCCCAAGCACGGCTCCGGCGGGGGCGAGGGGGCTGACAACTCGGAGGCGACCGTAGTAAAACAACACGTGAGCGAATACGGGAGCAAGAATGGGGTCTGTAAGGCAGAGGCACCCGTGACCTTTTAGGAGGCTGTTAGCACCAGCCCATGAACAGCTACTGCTTTGAACTAGATTATTACAGTAACTGCCTCCCCCCTTCTCCCCCTTCCCAAGCAGACATAGCCCGTACGGCAGCCGGGGAGGTCTTGTGCGATGCTGCAGCCTTTACACAAACAGTTCACAGCCACCTATGATTCGGGGTCCTCTGTCTCAGCTCTCCAAAGCGCCTCATGAGTTTTAATCACCACATTGCTTTCCCTGCCCTACTGAGGCTGTCCAGCCATCGGCTTCCAACATCTCTTCTCAGCTGGAAACTAAATACTGGAGCCCATCTTTTCTTTCCTCTGTAGAAGCAGCCCGTAGTACCTCCTCTTCCTCTTGCTTCCCCTGCAAATGCGCATGGAAGCCCGGTCGTGCACCCTGGTTTGTCAAGATTTCTGCTGAAACGCTCTTCTTTCAGCTGCAGCCTCCAGGACAGAGTGCTGAGCTCAACGCAGAGGCCATCCACAGGTTCCTCCGTCGGAACAGTGCACGCTTTTTGCCTGGCCTTTGCCAAATCGGTGGCCTGAGCAAACACCGCAGCTCTCTGCAAAGGCTGGGCACTGTGTGTGCCGTGCTGGATTCATTCCCAGCCATCTGCAAGCTCTTGCGGTGCTCCTTTTAGACTGTTCTTCGGAGTCTTCCGTTTGGTCTCCGGGTGCTTCCCTGATCGGAGGCTTCTACCTGCGTTTGTGATAATGCAGTCTCAGAGCTCAGCAATTGCTGTTCCAGAGAAGTGGAAAAACATCTTGGGAACTGAGCTCTGCCGCAGTCCGGCAGCCAATTGATCGCAGTGACATTTGTTAGCAACGCAGTGTGGGTCACAGACACGTCCTTCCCCGCAGCATCTAGGGTAGCATGAGCTCCGAATTGCAGGGCGCTGCATCACTGCTGCATAAACTAACAGCTGTGAGAGCCACTTTGCATCCCGCTGGGATCCAGGAGAGCACTCACACCAACCCAGCCCCACACCTCCGTCACCTCTCTTCCTGGTTATCTCCTCTGGACTGAGTTCACTTGCTCTCCTGTCATTCTTCCCTCCTGGCTCACATCCTCACTGCTTTCACATGGCTTCATTCAGTCAGAGCCCGCAGCACTGCCCTGATGCTGGGCAGACGCCCCGTGGATGCCTCTTTCTGCTCGCCCGGCACCAACCAGCCCAGCTGCTTCCCTGCCATGAGCACAGCCGCCCCCCGCGCCTGCCGCGATGCGGGGAGCACTCTCCTTGCTGCTGCTGGCCCTGGCTTGCCAAGCTGGCCTGCACATCCCCGGGATGGACCCATTCCGCCCATCACGGGAAAAGCACAGCCTGGGATGATGCCTGAGCAATGCAGAGGGGCAGGAGGGTCCCAGCAGCAGCGAGGCTGAGCCGAGAGGGGCTGGGGGAGTGGGACCTGTTCCAGGGAGGTGCTGAGGAGGGGGAGAGGGAGGGAGGTGAGGGGCTTGGCTGCTCTGCGCAGAAGCGTGTGTGAAGGAAAGCCGCGACCCACACCCTGAATTCCACAGCTCGGCTTCGGGGACAGGGGGAGGGAGAGAGGACAGGACGGGACATTTCCAACAGACGCACGACTTGTTCGTAAAAGCCTCATCTCACCAGCTCTGCCTGCCTCCTCCCCCACCGTCTCACGCTGGGTTTTATTAACGCAGTCCCCCTTAGGCTAGAGGGAATCACATCCCAGGAGACATTCCAGTCTCCGCTCAGCTTCGGAGGGGATCAGAGGGAGCCAAGGGTGGGGGGCGTTTCACCAGGACGTTTCATTTGCGGAGAGCTGGCAGGTCAGGAGCGCTGCAAGACGGCACTAGCAGCCTCCTTATCAGACACTGAGCAGCCGCAGGCTGGAGCTGAGGCTCTGCTCTCGCACTCCGGCTCTGTATCTCCCAAAGACCAGTTATTTCTGCTCTGCCCGGGCTGCCGGCTGGAAGCTCTTACCCTGGGCTCTGCTGGGTGCTGGGTGCACGGCTGGGCACAGGGATGCTGGGCAGGGAGTCTCGGCCTTTCGCTCAGGTGATGAACACAACGGTCGGCGACGTGCAGCCGGGTCCAGAGTGCCGCGGGGGCTCAGCCCGGGGTCAGCACCCTTCCCCGTGCACCAACAGGGCCTCAACCACGAGCTCCTCGCGGCCGTCGTGATCTGCACCAGTTGGGGCTGACACCTCTCGCCAGGAATGGGAGCTGGCTCCCCAGTGTCTGGCTCCTCAGGTGAATTGTGGCGTGCCCTGAGCCTACGCCAGGAAAATGCCAGCAGATGAAACTCCGTCTCAGGCCAAGAGACACGAAGATGGATGTGTTTTCCTTGCCTGGCTTATCTCGCAGGCAGTGCTTCTCACCGGAGCCCGGCACTGTTTGTGTGCGCTCGGCTCCTGGCACGGGGGCAGGAGATGCTCAGACAACAAACACTGTGGCGTACCTCTCCTGGGGCTGCAGCCTGCCCCTGCCCTGCCGAGACCATGGCCTGGCAGGGAGTTGCTTCCCGGGGGCCAAATCCCAGGGCCGGCTGCAGCTGCAGCAGGGCTGCAGGGGGAGAAGGGGGAGGAAGAGCCGCAGGACCCCGCAGCTGCTGGGGCACCACGGAGCTGCAGCGCGACGGGGCTGTGGCTGCCTCAGCAGCTCCCCAGGGACCCACTCCTGGACCGGACCCCCGCGCAGATGCAGCGCACCTCTGCAAGGTGAGGGGCAGGACAGTCCTGCCACCATCTCGCTTGGTCCTAGGTTGGAGGAGGCAGCGGTGCCAGCGCAGCAGCCCCGCAGGTAGCCGTGCGCTCAGCCCAGGGGCTCTGCTCCAGCTGTGCCCCTTGGATTCCCGAGGGCAGTACACCAGGCAGATCCCAGCCTCGGCAGACTCTGCGCCACTGGGTTCAACCCAGAATTAAGGCGAAGGAAGAGGTTTTTTTAAAAGGCAAAACCGAATAAATGCAAAATAAGTAGTAGTGGCTCAAGCAAAACTTCCTGGAAATTCATACTGAGACTGTTACATTGGCCTAGTTAAGCTGAAGTCTGGGAAAAAATCAAAACATTTTACTCTGGCGTTTTCAAGGTGCGCTGTTTGGATCCAGGACAGCCTGCACAATTCCAGCCATTTCCATTTAAAAGATTTTGAAAAGCTAAAAAGAGCTTTGAAGCAAAGCATTTTGTTGACCAACAGACATTTTTACATATTACTTTACATATTACTTTAACTTTCCACTTGTGAGTCCAGGCCCAAAGGCCAAATTTACCCTAACTCCACGTCCTCTTCTTGTCCCCTCCCCATGCCCATGCTTTGGGCTGCCAGCTGAGGACGAGAACCGAGTAATTCAAGGCCTGTTCAAGAAATACTCCTGATCCCTGGTGTTTACAAGGGCGGTTCACTGTGCATGACCCCCTAGCCTTGTTTGCACCTACCACCACCTGTACAAACAACCGCTTTGGCTGCCCAGGAGAAACCAAGGTGCCGGGGGCCAAAGAAAAGGGGAATCCCAAAAGCCAGAGGGTGAGAGCAGAGACTTGCCTGATGGGGATATCTCCCCGTTTGTCACCCACTGAGCAGTGATGCTGGAGACACCAACTCAGGAGGCCATCGCCTACAGAGAGGACAGCAAAGACGTTAGAGAAGAGAAATCAAAGGGGTTTCTCTGCCCTGGGGATTTGGCTCCTGGACCCTCCTCCAGCTGCTCAGGGAAGCGCCCAGGAGGTGTAAAGCTCCACGCTGACTTGGCAGGGAACCTAAAACCAGGTCCCCAGCCACACGGGATAGAGCTGTGAAAGTCACACCAGGGAGGTGGCAGGAAACAAAGGACTTTGGGCAGACAGGCTTAATCCATTTAAATTCAGTTTCTCTCTCACTTCCCCCCCCCCCTTTCCCCTTAGCTCTCATCAGAGAGCTCTTCCCCCACCTCCTCTCAGTCCAAAGTGCCTTACAGCAGTTTCGCACCCACGTGGCCCAGGGACTGGAAGAGTTATTCTACCTCCTCGCTGCTCACGACCGCGCAGAATGGGACCCGCTGTTCCCTGCCTCCCTCTCGCGCAGTCTCGTTCCACCAAACGCCTGCTGGGAAGGCGGCTGCTGGGAGGCGGTAGCCCCGGCTGGTGGTTCCTGTCGGGACTCACGTCACGATGCCACTTGGCTCGCCCAGGCGTTCGCAAGGTCCCTCTGTGCTGAAAAGCCTTAGGGGAGTGGAAGAAGAGCTAACGCTTGTGGCCAGAAGGACTTGGGAAACCAATTCAGCAAGGTGCAAACTGAGGTAGGGATGAGGGCTGCACGGACAGACAGCGGCTGAGAGAGCTCCCAGCACGGGAGCGCTAGCGAAAAGGACTTCTGCAGGCTGCGCCCAGGCCCTCTGCAGAAGGTGAGCGCACAAGCCCCCAAAACACCCAACAGCCATTTTCCCGCTGCGAAACATCTACTTGCTTGGCTGGGAAAGATTTGTAGTCCCAAACACACCGTGCACTTTCTTTTGTGTTAAGTGCCTTGGCAGGAGGCAGCAGTTCTCACGCACGGTCCCATCCCTGCGAGGACCGTGTTTCCCAGAACACCCCCGGCAAAGGGCTCCCTTTATTAAGAGGAGCCAAACTGCCTGTCGCTGCCTCGCAGGCTGCTCCCACGCCTCTCCCTGCTTCCCCAGGGCACCAGCCGGCTCCACTGCCATGGGCTGGAGGCACCAAGCTCCCAGAGACACCAGCATTCAAAGAGAAGGCACTAAAGAAAAGAGAGACAAAAGCAGGAAAGCGTTTCTCGTTGGGACCCAGCTGTCTGGCTCAGAGCAAGGCAAGAAAGTGGGATGTGCTCTGCATTCCCGGGGCACAGCCAGAATAGCGGGAGAAGAGTAAATTCCACAGTGTAAAGTCTGAGCCCTGCAAACACCAGCTCCTCACGTCTTCCCTTTTGCTTCTCCCCTCCTTCCCTCTCCCCTCTTGTAAGTAAGGCCTCGGGGATACACCGAAGGCTGCTCGGGCGCGGGGACACCTAGCCAGCAGCCCACTAGCTGAGCATGGCAGCACCTTCCAAGCACGGCCACGACCAGGCTCTTTCTTCTCACATCTGCTTACCGTACCCAGTATTTACATCCTCAGTATGGTTCCCATAAAACAAAACATGAACAACTGATCACAGACAAATCAACCAGTAATACAGTCCGAGATGTCAGGAAGCCTTACCCACTCCCTGCGCACCAGCCCAGGCAGCTGGAGATCAAAGTTTTCTTATTCGCATACATTTCTTGAAACAATTTGCAGCTCAACTCAGTCTGCTGAGGGGATGCTGACAGAGTCCAGGGCTTCGCTCACAGAAACAGGAACCAAGAAACCAGATCTGTGCGCTGCTGCCTCCATCTCCAGGTGGCTGAGCGGAGGGAGGCTTTGGCATCTCCAAAATGAGGGCTGCTCCCTTCCTTCCCCTTCCTCAGCATCCCGCACAGGGAAAGCCTCCTTGCAAACGGTAGGTGAAGGGCTGGGCGCAGACAGATGCCTTCGGCAGAGCTCTGCACCGGCAAAGCAGGGGTGCGGACACGTGTAGATGCAGGGATCAGGGGACTGAGCGGTCTCGGTGGGCACTGAGGGTCTAAGAGGATTGGGTTTAGTACCCCTAGGCAGGAGAGGTGGAAGACACCTTTAAACCCACCCGTGCAAAGCCATCCCGATCCAGACAGAAACCGGCTGCAAGGACTGGAAGCATCGGCCCCGGCCTTCGGTGACTCCAGCAGCTTCTCCCTCGCCCGCAGAGGCAAAAAACCGGGCGGCGAGGGAGGAGTATCGCCCCCGGGGAGCAACGCGTGGCTCCGGGGACATCCGCAGCCCGATGCCGGGGGGGACCCGGTTGCACGGAGGCCGGGGACCGGGC